GGTATCGGGGGCGGGGGCGGGGAACGTAAGACCCACCCCCGCCCCGCCCCGTTGCCATGCCTAACTCCAACAGACATTGCGACACGACTGTCCAAAGTATAGGACGTGGGGACACAACATATAAATTTAAATTGGGAATTAAGATTTGTATATATTCACCTTCAAAGTTGTTAAGCTTTACAATTTTTATATAATTATAACCTTTAGAAGATGAATCATATCTCTCAAAGTTAAAATAACTAGTAATTCCTATGAAACCGAGCCTCTAAAAAAAAAGATAATGGTACTTGCAATATTTATAAATAAATTGACTTTTTAATTTTTTATAATAGGAGTGTTAGATTTGTGTTGTTACAAGCAAGTGCCAGCTCATCCTCTTGGCCTATGTCCATGTCCTGTTGAAAAGTGTCCAAGTTGTGTCAGAGGTCTCCAAACTGTGTCGGAGAGGTGTCCAAACAAAAAAAGAAAATTTAATTGTGACACGGTGGAGTGGTGTCGGACACATGTCTGGCAAGTGTCCTATCCAAAACTTGTGAGACACATTGACACAATATTTTGAAGATGTGACGGTGCTTTGTAGGAAATATATACCTTAGCAATAGGTGGTTTTCTAAAAGTTATGAATTGTTTGAACATCTGTAGAACTGTCATAAAAACTTTGAACAAGCATATGCATTTGAAAATATCAGTTCTATGTTGTACAAGACTTGAAGATCTTTTAAGTAGAAATATTTTCAGGATAAGACAAGGGGTCTGACAAAAGTTGCAAACTTTAGACTTAGGAGGTGATTCCTTGTGTCATGTACGGTTGGTTTGGTTACACTGAAAATAAAGGGGAGAAGAGAGGATATGAATAAATAATGCAGAGAGTTAAGTGTCTGTCTGGTATTGATAATGAATGCAAGAAAACAATTGATTATGAAACTTTCTTACTCTAAAAAAACTGTATGTTTTGCTGGTTTAAGCATTAAAATTTTGATTCAATAGATTAAATCAAAATGTTAATCAATTGTTTAATTTAAAAACCGGTTTTATTTATTTATTTTTATCTTGTTTATAGTCCTATTCCTTTCCTATTTCTCTTAAACTTAACACCCTTATTTCCAGTTTATTTCTTTGTACTCTATTTCTTTCCATCTTATAAAACACACCCATAGTAAGCATATAAGAAGTTGAAGCTGGGCACATAGTTGTTTAGCAGGGGTTTGTTTGGCTAAAGTTCTTCATAAACACTTTTAGGAGAAGAAAATAAATAAATAAAAAATCATTAGTTTCTCTAAAAGTTAATTTTAACTTATAGGGAAATTTATTTCATTTTCCTTCTTATTTTCTTTTCCGAGAAGTGTTTATGGAGAAATTTATCCATTGCAAACCCTAGATGTAGATGTGATATATTTCATCAAAGGGATTTGCTTCCAGTATTGTTCTTATTTTTCATAAGGTTTTCTCTGTGTATGTGATATCTGTAAAATCAAGCTCCGAAGATGATGGATTAGGAAGAGGTATTCTTGGCATGTAGCAGCTTTTTTATTTCTCCTTTGTCACTGTTTGCAATTTTTTTCCACTTACTGAATGATTTATAATCTTATACCTTATTCAGATTCTGCAGCTGAGTGGTCACAAAAGGATGATGTTCTTAACTGGTATGAACAGAATGCTTATGACAATGAAGGTTCTCTGGATGGCAGAAGAATGTCATCACAGCCTCATTCTTCTCTTTCTCAGTTACATGAACCAAAGCCCTTGTACAGAACATCCTCATATCCTGAGCAGCAAAGGCAGCAGCAACATCACCAGCTCCAACCTAGTGAATCAGCTCCCAACTGGTTTGATCAGCATTTATACGGTACTGAAACTACTCAGGATGGTAAACGGTGGTCATCACAACCACATTCCACCATTGCACACTTACAAGAGTCTAGGCCCTTGCATAGAACCTCTTTATATCCCGACAAGCAGCAGGAAGTTCCACATTTTCCTAGTGAACCAATTTTGGTACCAAACTCCTCATTTACTTCTTATCCTCCACCTGGTGGCAGATCTCAACAGGCTTCTCCAAGTCATAATGCAGGTCACTTAAACATTCCTTATCATTCCGTAGGAGCTCAGATGGCACTATCACCACAAAACAGATCTCATTTCTCCAATTCTCCATTACAGATGAGTGGACTAAACCATGGGCCACCTTTTGGTGGAAACATGCGCCAATTTCCTACTGGTTCCCCTCTTAATCCGATAATACAGAATCAATTGGTTAACCAATCAGGGTTATATCCTGGAGACCATCCCAATATTTCCTCAGGTATACCCATGATTAACAAATATGACCAGATGCTGGGGCTGATGGAACTGAGGGATCAAATGCCAAAATCAGCTCAAATGGGTAGACATAATCTCCGGTTTCCCCCACAGGGTTTTGATATGAGTGGCCTGAAAAGCAATATTGGATGGCCTCGATTCAGGTCTAAGTACATGACTACTGAGGAAATTGAGAACATTCTTAGAATGCAGCTTGCAGCAACACACAGTAATGATCCATATGTTGATGATTATTACCACCAAGGCTGTCTTGCAAAAAAGTCTTCTGGTGCCAAATTGAGGCATCACTTTTCTCCAGCCCAAATAAGGGAACTTCCTCTACGCCCCTCTTCTAATTCTGAACCACATGCTTTTCTTCAGGTTGATGCTCTAGGGAGGGTTCCATTCTCTTCAATTCGCAGGCCCCGTCCTCTACTGGAAGTTGATCCTCCTAATTCCTCTCATGGAGGTGGCCCTGAGCAAAGCATTTCAGATAAGCCTCTTGAACAGGAACCGATGCTTGCAGCTAGGGTCACAATTGAAGATGGTCTTTATCTTCTTCTTGATGTAGATGATATTGACCGTTACCTACAGTTTAATCAACCTCAAGATGCTGGTATGCAGTTAAAAAGAAAACGACAGGGTCTTCTGGAAGGACTTGCTACCTCACTTCACTTAGTTGATCCACTTGGAAAGAATGGACGTACAACTACACTTGTCGCAAAAGACGACTTTGTTTTTCTCAGGATAGTTTCTCTACCCAAGGGTCGAAAGCTACTTGCTAGGTACCTTCAACTGCTTTTTCCTGGTGAGCTAATGCGAATAGTCTGCATGGCCATATTTCGGCATTTAAGGTTTCTATTTGGTGGCCTTCCCTCTGATCCAGCTGCAGCAGAAACTATTAGTAACCTTGCAAGGGTTGTTTCAAGGTGCATCCGTGAAATGGATCTCGGTGCAATAAGTGCTTGTCTAGCAGCTGTTGTTTGTACTTCTGAGCCACCTCCCTTACGACCCCTTGGAAGTTCTGCTGGAGATGGGGCTTCCCTAATTCTAGTATCTGTGCTTGAGAGGGCAACTGAACTTCTAACCGATCCTCATGCTGCTAGCAATTACAATATTGCAAATCGTTCACTTTGGCAGGCTACATTTGATGAATTCTTTGGCCTTCTGACCAAGTATTGTGTGAATAAATATGATAGTGTCATGCAATCATTCCTTATACAAGGGACTCCAAATATGGCAGGCATTGGTTCGGATGCTGCAAGAGCTATTAGTAAGGAAATGCCAGTTGAACTCTTACGTGCAAGTCTACCTCACACTGATGATCGCCAGAAAAAACTATTACTTGATTTTGCTCAGCGCTCTATACCTGTAGTTGGATTTAATAGTAATTCTGGGGGTCATGATCACCATGTGAATTCAGAGTCAGTGCTGAGTTAATTAGACAATTGGACATTCATCTTTGGAGCTGTTCTCAAAATACGGTGACAGTAAATTTTATAGGGACAACTTTGTGTGTCTGATTACTTTGGAACAGTCTTATGTGGAAGGATCAGGTGCATCTTCCTTAGAAGTTTTAGCCCCTTCATATTTTGTTATGTTTTGGTAATGCCATGTAGCATTGTGATAAATTTGCAATCAGGCCCTTTGTGTATTATGATAGACTTGGCTTGATTTGTTCCTCTTGTCTCGTCTTTTTTTCTTTTGACAGGGGAGCTTATTGTTGCTCAGTTTGTGGTTTCTAGAGCACAGTAGTGGGTAGTATGTCCAGATTTAGGTTTAAGTTGGATTCCCATGTTCCATTATTATTACCATACAAGCATGGGATTGTGGTTGTGTTCATACTCCATATCTACCTTTATAGATATCACATGTCCAAATTGAAGTAGCATTGTGGGGTGCACCTATTTAACCAGTCAACAAGGTGGCATTGGCATGCCTAAGAATAAAGTATGTTAAACCTTGTTTCGTGGTTTTTCAGTTTCCTCTCCTTGCCTTTTCGTTGGTGTAGACATAATTTTGTATCATCATCTTTCTTGTTTGTCAAGTCAAGTGGACTATTATTGGATCTATCATTTTTATCCCACGTTGGTTTCTCTTGTTTCTCCTTACTCTTGCTGTTGCATTTGCGATATTACAAGGCAATATATGGAATTTTTGAATGCAATTTTTTTTTTTCTTTCTAGATATTATGGTTGGTTCTAGGCTTTGTTATTTTCTGTGGTCTCTTTGATCTGGATGCATGTATATAATGTAAAAGTTAGAAAAGCATAGGGGTAAGAAATGTTCCAAGGCTGGACCGCTGAATGATATGAATCACTGAATCAGGTTTGTACTTTGTTTTACTCCACTATTAACAATACAATTGTTAAGTGTAAAGTAAAAATAAAACAAATAACTAGTCATTTTATAATATGCACTCACTATTGGTTTAGCAAATTGAACATTATCTCAATCATAGTAGCATCTTAACCTTTTCTTTATGGAAAGATTTAAATGTTAGGGAATGGGGTTTTAATCCCAAGCAGGAAACTGACTTTTTTTTTTCTCCTTTCAAACTACCATTTATAGTTCCATAAGAAAAGAGTATATATCAACCCCCAGGGAAAATCTTATGATAATTTTAAGAAAAGTAATTATATTTTGCTCTTCAAACAGGTTGTCTAGTCAATGTTGGAGGGAGATATTTGTAAAAGGTATTTCAATGCTTAAATAAGTAATCCACTTAGAATATTAAATGTAAATATATTGTGAACAATGACTTTGCTTCAATATACGATACCATTTATACCAATCTTGTTGGACCTAGATTTCAATGGGCCTTAGTTTGAGGTTACTAATTAGGTAATACTTTTGTAATCTAATCTTTATCATAATTGAGTTTTAATCATCTTGATTACCTCTACAAATTGGGGAGTTGTTTAATTGAAGGTGTTGAGTTAATGTACCTGGTAGTGTTTAGAGTGTATCAACAATTGAAGGTATCAAATGAACATACCTAGTAGTGTTAGAGTGTATTGACAACCGAGGTTATCAAATGAGTACGCCTAGATGTGAGGGAATGCATTGGTTGTTAACGCTGCCAAATGGGTGTTTAGATGTGTGAAAGTACATTAGAAGGCCAGGGTGATGAGTTAGTATAAATAGTTGTGCAAAAGTGCTTGATAGTTGAGGGTGTCGAACAAGCATACCTAGGTGTGTGAGAGCATGTTGGCAGTTGAGAGTGCTGAATGAATGTTGTCGATTTTTGGTAATCGAAGGTTTGTCCGATATACATGCCTTTATGGCTTGAGAAGTACAAGATGAAAAGACTTGAGAATGTGCAATGATATGATGTATCGGTTGAGGTGTTTTGTAATTGTAAGTGGTGTTACTAGTTATTGGACAGTTATAGTTAATTTCTTTAGGGTTCCAATTACATTGTCGCTTGGGAAATGAACATGTGTTTCTTGAGAGTCGATGGATCTTGTAGATCTACCAGTTACGAGGGAGCATGACGTTTAGTCTTTGCCCCTTACATTGCTATAAATAGCATAGGTAGGTTGAGCCCATACCCTACCCCACCACAAGTATAACTCTAAAGTCAAATGACTTATTGTGTCTTGTAATCATTGAGTAAGTGTTTTTCTTATTTCTTGAGTTGGGTAAGTTGAGGGTTTGTTTAAGAATGTCTAGAGAGTCTAATCATCCATTAATATCAAGTTTGAGTTCTGAATCAGTGAGTGCCACTTCATCGTTGCTAAGTTGTTTATTTCTTGCCTTTGCATCAACTCGTCTAGATTCTGAGAGAACTTTATCAATGAGGGAGGTGAATTTGGCCGATCAAGAAGTGATCAACGTAAGCGAAAGTGAAAGGGATAGGCTGAAAAAGCAATCATTTGACGACTCAACGAAACCTTCATCAATTGGGAAAAACAACCTATAAGGGATGTTTAATCTTGTCACCATACCTGGTTAAAAGTGGGTTCATGGGGAGGTGGCGACTTAGGCTGATTCACAATTGTAGGGAATTTTTTAAAATTAATTACGTAAATGGGGTTGTTTTGAAATTATTTGCGCTTTTGGGACAGTTTATTACAGTGTTGTTATAACCCATAACGACACTAATGTCACGTGTATATTTTTTTAGAAGCCATGAAAGCCATGTTATAAAAATAGTCACAACTGGTAGGACTTCAACTAAAGTTGCTACAGCCACTAACAACACATAAAGACTTCATGTTCAACTGTGAATTTTAAAAATTTTTTTTAATGAAGTCGAGACAGACTATAGCGAAACAAATTAATTATTTTTTTATAAAATAATTTATTTAAAATTTTAGTATATAATATTTTTAAAAAAGTTTTAATTTATTTAATTATTTTTGAATAATGTATAATTTTTTTTATAAAAAATAAATAAATGAAGTTGCTAAAATCTGTAGCGACACTAATTATTTATTATTTTTAAAAAATAGTTTATTTAAATTTTGACATAATATTTTTAGAAAAATTAAATTTATTTAATAATTTTTAAAACTATCATATACTGTTAAAAAATAAAGAAAAAATAAATTTATTTTTTAATTGAATTATTTAATTTAAGAAATATAATTATTAATATATAAAAATATAAATGTAAAAAAGTGAGTAAAGTTTTTTCTTAGCAGTAAACTAGTTTTTTTTATATTTAAATTACTAAGTAGTAAAATTATTTTTTAAACATTAATTAAATACAATAACGTTGTTATAGTGCCCAAATTTTTTTCTTAAAAAATATATTTAAATACAGTCACTATAAGTTATAACAACTTCCATTAATAAATCTTTTAAAAAATTAATTAAATATAAATATAATAAAGTAAGTAAATTTTTTTACTAGTAATAAAATATAATTTTTTTTATATATTATTAAATAAATAAAATTATTTTATAAATATTAATTAAAAATATGAAATCTAAAGTTATTATGTTCCTTATCGATTTATTTGTTTGTTAAAATTTTATTTATATAATATGCAAATATATTAACGTTTTTAAAATATTAATTTATATTTTAAAAATGAAGGTAATATAATTTGAAAAAAAATAAATTTACAATAATTAAATAACGCCTATTTTTTTAAAAAAATTAATTAAATATAATTGCTACAGGCTGTAACAACACCAGTTAAATAATGTTTTTTTAAAAAATAATTTATTTAAATTTTTAACATATAATATATTTAGAAAAATTAAATTTATTTAATCATAAAAAAGTTAATTTATAAAATTTAATTTTTATGCAGTTTATTCAATGAAGTCGTTACAGTTTATAACGATATCAATGTGGACTCACTTCTTCGATATTATTTATTTTCTTTTTTATTATAATTTAAATGGGTATCGTTATAGGTCATAACGATAGTATATATACATATCCTGTCACTTACATTTTGATAACATTTGAAATCACACAAATAAGTATAATATTGGGAATTCTGTATTCAAATTTGTGAGTGAAATTTTATTGTAGTTGAAAAATAAATTATAGCTATTTGTACTAATTTTTTTTTGAAGATATTATGGATCAAATTATAGCTTATATTTACCTAAAATAATAAAAAAAATACCTCACATAAACATTTAAATAAAATTATAAAAAAATACCTGACATGAATAACTCACAATTTTTTTCAAACATTAAATATTTATTATGAATAACTAAACATTTACCTAAAATAAAAAATACTTGACATGAAGAAATCAAAAATAAAAGCAATAAACTGAAAAAATTCAAAAATATAAATATTAAAAGCAAATTAAATTAAATAACAAAAAATATAATAAAATTAATAATTTAACTAAAAATTTATAATTATATAAACTTATAAAAAAAATTATGACAAATGAAAAAAAAAAAAAAAATTGCATACCTGACCTAGAGACAAATGTGGGGGAAGGGGGGACCATCAGGGTAACTAGATTATATAGGTGGTATTTTTTTTTTACTATTATGGTGCCACGTGTCGAATTTCTATTGGGTGTTTTTTCGATAAAAATGACACATGGCGAGCATGTAGGAAGGCAGGTGCGGTACTTTTTTTTTGCTTAATTGTGTTTTTGATCTCTCAAGTATTGTAATTGTGCAATTTTGATCCCTAAAGTTTTAATTGAGTAATTTTAGTCCTTAAAAGATTACAGTTGTGCAATTTTAGTTCCTCAATTTTTAATTGAACAATTTTAATTCATATATAATAAATTATATTTATCAAATTATTAGTTTATCTATAAATATAATAATAATATTATTGATATTAATTTATCAATAATAAAAATAATAATATAAAATTTATTTATTTAATAAAAATAAAAATATATTATTTGATATAATATCGAAAATTATAATATACGTTAATTTGAATAAATGAATAATTGTTTAATTTTAAAACATTATATATATATATATTAAAATTATTAAATTTTTAATGGGAGAGACTAAAATCACACTATTATGATATTCGAGGGACTAAATATAACATCCCAGTTTTATTTCATTTTTATTTTATTAAATTGAGGGTATTTTGGTAAATTTTATAAATGTATAGAGGTGATTTAGTAGCTTGGAACGAGCTGTTCCGAAATTGAAACGGGCCGTTCCAAACTACCAAAATATATGCGAGTTCGTTGCCCAGAACGGGTCGTTCTCACGTTGGAACGGGCCGTTCTGGACTATTAAAAACTGCCTTTAACTCTAAGTGGAAATGGGCTTGGAACGGGCCGTTCTGGTTTGAGAACGGGCCGTTCTGGATGTGATTTTTACCCATGATTCAAGGGTCCCAAAAAGCACACCTCTCATTTTCTAATTTCTTTTCTTCTACTCTCTCTTCTTTTCCCTCTACTTTATGCTTCAGACCGAGGGGAACTCAGCGAGGGAGACCAATCAAATCTCGTATAAATTCAGCTTCTACATATCCAGGTACGGGGGAAAATGGAATTATTTATATGTATAGTTACATGAGGGAATTGGGTAGAGGAAGAATCCCTTAGGATTATGAGCAATTTTATAATTATTTCTGTTTGGAGAATTATTGGTCTTATTTGATTCTGTATGAATTTAGGATTATGAATATATGATTTATTTGTAAAAATG